GTTACAATAGAATTGCTGTTGTTTCCCTGTGCTTTTTTCCGAGGGGGCACCCCACTACTTTTCTTACCCTTGAGTTTGCAACGTGCCTCGGAAGTTGCCTTGTCGTTGGCCATGTGCTCCCTCCCAATACCCTCCTATGTTTAACCCATCAATTTAATTAAGCAAAAACATATTAATATATATAAGAAGAATTAATATATATATATATATATATATATCACATAAAAAGATCGAGAGAGAGAGAGAGAGAGAGAGAGAGAGAGAGAGAGTTGGAAAAAGAACAGAATGAAGAAGTGAATGACCCAAAAAAAAAAAGAGTCAAGGAAAACGTAATAACAAAACAACGAAACAATACAAAATGGAGAGAAATGACTGTGCGAGTTGTTTTTTATCACGCCAAACAGACAATACAAAAGGCACTCATGCGGCCTCCAAACCCAAAAATGTTTGAACTGATCACCATCCTCACCATACCAAAAAAAAGGAGGATTCGATGTCCACTGAATACCAAATCTAGCTAATAACAAACACACATGAGCAACCTTTTAAAACAACCTAATCAGGCCCTACAATAAAGCCACCCTCCAATCAGAAAACTAGCAAAAGATCGAATTTCCTCCTCAACTATTATAATCTTTAATTTCCAATTTCTCACTGAAATTGCTACAATCACAAAGCACAGATGAGCACATTTCAAATTGCTACGATGCACAGGCCGAAAGTACCAAAAAAATCCAAAGTAACAAAAAAATCCAAAGTAGGATAATGGAAGCTAAACAACTCCTATCACGTCCCCAATTGGTGTGAATGGAATTGCAATTCCAATGGCACAAGGGAGGCAAAGAGACACATACAACACATGTAAAAATAGAGCTGGAATCATGTGCATAGGAGCTTAGAGACTCTTTACAGCATTTCGTTAAACAGTTGGTGGCCATCACTATGAGCCCAAACAAATTTAAACATAAAGTTTGGGAATGTACAAAAATTACTAAATACAAACACCATAAGAATTCAATAATTAATGAAGAACAATGACTCATTCTATTATCTGGCATTTATGTAGATACAAGGATTAAATGAACAAAAGCAAACAACAAGAATGAGAGAATTCGAAATTACCGTAGTAAAAATTTCAAAACCCTAACTTGAAATTTCTGTACAAAGTAAGAGATACACTTGAAACCTTCAAGAATAGAGTCCAAAATCGGATTGTACTCGAAAAAAGAATTTGACGATGGGTGATTTGGGGTGGCTGAGAGAAAGAGATAGAGAGAGGAGAAGAAGAGCTCGACGAAGAAGTTGCTGAGCGAGGGTTACTGGTGGCTACAACGCGTATGATTCTAAAGGGTGCGCAAGGTTTTTGTTGTCCTTAAACGACTTCGTTATGAATTTTATGGTGCAACAATTGAACTGTGCGTTTTGAGTTATTTTGAAACCTTTTTTGTTTTATCCTTTTTCCAAATGTATTTCTCTCTCCTCCCAAATTATTATTTTTTTTTTATAACCGTTTTTCTTTTCATGGAACATTATGGACTTTGCTTACCTAGGTTTCCAGCTGCAATCACATTGTAAATAAATCCTATCGTAGGGCCAGAGTCATCACAAAATTGATGAAAACCTTTAAATAATAAATTATGTTACTAAATATTGTGGTAAAATGTTTGTTTGTTTGTTTTTTTGCCAAAATTAGAAAGGGGAAAGAGGGAAAACTCACTCTCACAGGTACCGTAAGGGTTTGAATCAATGAACATCTTGGAGCACTTCAAAGACCTGGGTCATTTCAACTAACACCCTAATAGTATATTGTGGTAAAATGTTGGTTTGTGTTTTGTTTATGGAAATTAAAAGCCTTGGTGGGGTGTGTTGGTTTAAGTTCACATATTATACAAATAATTCTCACATATTATTGAATAACAATAATATATGTTATAACAATTATATTAAAATATTATATAGTGGCCGATTAATATATATTTTAGATATGTTGAAACTAGTACCTTAATATATATAAAGTACAAACTAATGCAACTTGGAGGGTTCTTTTTTCTTTTTTCTTTTAACTAGTATAGCCGGGCGGCTATACGTATTTCACACGTTACGCCTAATCTCTGGAAGGTTCTTTTTTAAAAATGAATAAATCAAAATAGTACAGCCGCACGCCCATACTAAGTTTTTTTTTTAATAGCTATTTTACACGTGCGGCTGTACCCGTTAAGTAGCATGATATGTATTTATCTTGTTTAATTACTTTGATTAATAGTTATGTTTTAGTTATTGTTTACATAGTAAATATTAAAGGAAAAAAAGAAAAAGCAAAATAGAATTACTATTTATTAAGTAATATAAGTCATGAAGATAATTAAAATATTGAATACTAATTATTCACTTCATAAATAGTAATTAAAATATAATTATTAATTTAACTAATTAAATCAGGCAAATATATTATTTAATTACTAAAATTAAAATTTAACAAAATTAATTAACCTAAACAGCCTAAGTTTTTTTTTTGTTTTTTTTTTAACACCTCTCCCTCATCCGCATGTGTTTACAAGCCCTAATCCTCTTGTCAATTTAGGAATCATCCTACTCCATTTCAATTGTATGACTAATTGGATAATATTAGGTTTTGAAATTGATTATAATATGTATTACTTAGATGTAATTGAATATTAACCCTCAATCAGATGTACTGATTTAGTTTCATTATATTTTATCATTTATAATTGTTGTTCTCCAAAGACTTATTCATCATCCCTGCAAGGTTTACATCTCACCTTTGCGGGACCAAAGTTACCTAGCATCTACGCATCGTCTTTCAAAACTTTGGTATTATTTAAATTCTCAGGGTAATTGGTTATGTAATATATATATATATACCTTTTACTCTTTTAAAAATTGCCCATTCGTTGAAGAATTATTGGATCCACCACTGTAGGTATATATATATATACATATATTACATATATGTGTATATACGTGTATATATGTACATTATAGTACATGTGTATGTAAGTAATATAATGTAATAAATAAATATAGGTATATAATAATCAAAATATAATATATGCATCTTATACATTGGTGAGCATGGGATAAGTTAATCGTCCCTTTTCACATGGGTTTAGTAGTCCCTTCCTAAAGAGGTGCTTTGGTGGGCCCGGTATTAGCAATCTCATATAAGACTAGAATTACATGAAACAAACATGGTACTAAATTTAGTCTAGGCCAAGCCAAGCCAACCGTGTGTAACAAACGACACTTACTCCTCTCATGTTCCAAATTAATCTGGTGAGTCTGACATAATGTAAGGTAGTCATGAGCTTTATTTATATTTATATTTTTTTATCAAATTTAAAGCCACATTGTAATAAGTTTATGACCTACCATAAATCGACTACCGTAGTAAATCTATACAAACAATACAAATTGATATTTAAAGAATTTTGTGCGAAAATATTTGTTTCAACCTAATTAATAGATTCAAATTATTCAAAGTTAAACGTGCAAGTGCACATTGTGAACAATAGCGCACATATTGAAAAATAGTAAAGGGTGCAAGTAAGGGATCTTGCCCACAAAGATTGGTTGTTAACTATGTCAAATTTGTAGTTTAACAAACACTAAGAATGACTATATCTGACAAACTCAATTATGAATGTTTGATGGTGAAACATTCTGAATTGGACAATGAAACTGACAAACAGACAATGTGTAATTGCCATTTCGTGTTGCAAAATCATATTGACGTTCAGGCAATTTCCAAAGAACTCTGCCATATCATTTTTCCCATTTTCCATGTAGCTTCATAATTAAGCACCTAACCTAAATATGAAAAACAATGGAATTTATTGCATCTAACAACATTAATGTATCAAAACTCCTAGATGTAACATTAACATAGATACAAAATAACACTAATAATATATGTCATGCCAAAAGTTGGGGAAATACATGAACAATATGGTTCTAATGAATATTTCGTACATAAAAGCTAAACCATATATATAGTGGAAGTACTACAATCCATGTCATTTTATTGGGGTGAACGGAACCCAAAATCTATTACGATCTCTAGGTGGTGAGGCTTGTGTGTCAAATTGTGATTCCAATACACTATACTCGGGTGTCTCAAAGGTGAAATCATTTGAGTTGTAATGAGTGGAGCCACTAGACACTTCGCCATATGAGAAGCCCGAGTTAGGGGTTGTATAAGAAGAGGACAACGTCTTAGTCCCATGAACAGCCACTATTACGGACGGATTTATTTGATCCATATGATCACATTTCCTGACTCCAAACATATGCCAACATGGAATTCCACTGGATTCAAATAATTTGCACGAACACTGCAGATGTTGCTCTTTCTTGTAGTACACTACAGTCCATTTCTCATCGGGTCTTCCAAATTTGGAAAATGTGTAAACACGAGGATCTTCATTGTTTCTTACGGGTTGCACGAGAATTAATTTAGCCTCCTTGTTTATCTCATTTCTTATCAACTTGTAAATATCGTGAGTGAAAATAGAAGCTGCATGTTCCTCTAGTGATCGGAGGTGCGTACGAAGGAGTGGGTGTGAATTGTTGGAATCAAAGTCATCCTTCACATTCTCATTTCTCAACCTCAATAACGATCTTTCAATCCGTGGCATACACTCCACTAACTTCATGCCTCTACCAATTCCATCCTTCAAGTTCTTATGCATACCCTCGACACGTTGTGTTGTGGTATTCCCACCAAAAAAATGCCCTGAGCAGTACGCTTCAGCCCATCGTTTCCGTTTACGGTACATCATCTCGATCCAATCGCCTTTTAGATCATATGTATCTATCATTTGTTGCCAATGTTGTTCGAACGCCACTGGTGTCAAACCACCATGCACACAATAGCTAAAGTCCCTTACAATTTCTGGGTTATTCACATTGGTGTTCACATTCCTCATGATGTGCCATGTACATAAACGATGATGTGCATCGGGAAAAACTTCATCAATCGCTACATGCATTGCCTCATCCCCGTCCGTGACAATAGATATAGGCTTCTTGTCCTTCATAGAAGTCAAAAAAGTTCTGAGTACCCAACGATATGTATCAGCAATCTCATCAACAAGAAATGCACAACCAAAAACTGTAGTCGCGTTATGGTTGTTTACACCAACAAACACCATTAAAGGCTTGTCATATACGTTGGTTTTGTACGTGCTATCAAATATCACCACATCCCTAAAGCAACAATAATCGTGTAGAGATTGAGAGTTTCTCCAAAAGAAATTTGCCAATCTATTCTCCTCATCTACACTAAACATGCAAAAAAATTCCGGATCTGCTATTGCCTTGGCATTCATGTAGCTTATTGCTGCTTCTGCATCACCATCCAATAC